TAATGCTCCTATTTCTGAACAACCACCCAACCAGGTGCTGTCTGAGCAGAACTAAGTGTGTCTGTCTCTGTAGATGTCTTTCCATTCCATTGCTCTCACTATCTTTCCTCCACCCATTTGCTTTTAGAGTAGTAACTCACTGCAGTGTAGATTAATCAGAGGGATTTAATTAACTTGGCCAATTATCAAACTGAGATACAAGGCACACTATATACTCAGCCAATTATCTCCTGCTAAACAGGGTTTTGGTGGACACAGGGGTGCATGGCTACTTGCCTCTTCCTGTCCCCACATGTTCTTCAACCCTCCACCTGTGAATAACAGCAGATCTTATTACTACAGCTGCCCCCCTCCTCACCCTGACTTTACTCACTGAGATAGAGCACAGCATTTAGAGATGAGCAGCTACAGATTGGGTTCTTGTGATTACTTGTGGAATGAACTTAATCCTCAACACTGTTGCGACTCTTGGTCATATTTATTTTAAAGTTGCAGAGTATAACATGCTCACTGAGCAGTCTTTGTGGTGTGAAGTTGGACTAAATGAATCAGGGTTGTCACTTAATCCATCATTGCAACAACAAGATGTGCAACACTGCAATCACAAAGGACTGCTTGGATGGACTCTTAAGTGCTCTCACCTAACTTTTTATTGAACAGGTTGAGATAGAAATGTTCACAGTGATGGGAACAATGAGTAATGGTAAAAATATAATGGTCACAAAAATCTTTATTGAATTTTTCACCATGGAATTACAATTACATATTTTTAAGATATCTTGCAGCCCAGGTTTTTAATCACTTTATTAATGGTGAACTGACATGCTCTTCTCTCATATAATCTAGTAAAAAAAATGTACTTTCAACCAACTAACCCTAACCCCAAACTAGGCCTGTGAAAATAAATCAATTAATTGCATGATAGCTCAAAAAATCTATTCGTATAATTGATCATTTTTCTCTTCTCCCTTTCTACCAAACACTGTTTGACAAAAGTTTTCAATCTGCTGCTTTGAGCTCAGCTGCTCTTTTTTAAAGGTCAATTTTGTTTACAGAGTTTTACATAATTCAGTATAATTGTTGTTTTTCTGCGACAGATTGGCAACTTGTCCATGGTGTACTCCACCTCACGCCCAAAACATTCGGTTGAGATAGCCACTAGCGCCCCTCCTGACCCCACCAGGGACAAGCGTGTACAGAAAATGGATGGATGTAGTTGTTGTTTCTGTGTTTTCTTATTTTGGATGTCTTCCTATTGCAGTGTTAAACGTTCATTAGAAATTGAAGTTTATTGATCTACGAGAATGTGTTCTTGCATTTTTATGCCATTACTGTTTTAGTGCTTCAAAATGATCTCAAAACAATAATATCATTTGTCAAAATAGCTTCTGGAACAATGTAATGTTCAGCAATCCTATTTGGGGCAAAAAAATCAAGACCCAATGTAAAGTGAGATGTCCTCATAGGAGCTGAGTATGTTTTAAGAGTACTGATGCATCAGTACTCATACTAAAGTGGCCAATATTCCAGTGTTTAGTGTTCAAAGAACAAGATTGTAGGTCTCATTAGAGAAACTTAGTGTCTCTCTATTCATTACTAATGGCAAGCTGCACTTTTTTTTTTGTTAAAAACAAAAACAGCATAATGTGAACAATAAATATTTGTAAAAAATCAATGTTCAAAGTAAGATGAGTCGTAAAACAACTGTTGGTGATGAAATGGGACACAGCCTACCAAATAGAGAAAACCATTTTCACAAAGAAGCCAAATTATCCATTTTTTTGTCAACAGCATTAATAACAAGGTCCACAGTCCCATCTGTATGTCCTGTAGTAATGTCTCTTTTGACCAACTGAGGATCAGCTCTGGTTCTGTTTTGTCTCCTTGGTACAACACATTTCAACCTGTTGAAAACTAGGGAAGGCCTTGTACGCATTAGATGCAAAATGAGCATAAATTTGTTTTTACGCCAAATTTCTCCTCTAAGTCAGAAACTGCATTTAATTTTTTTTGTCAAGTGTACTATTGTCAGCAAGCAGCTCTTTGCCAGAAACAGAAAAAACAGGAGACTCATTCAAATCCTCATTCAAATCACCATCTCAAAAATAAACTAAGATCTCAAATCATCTCATCCAATATTCCTTTAAGAATTTAAATTTCTCAATGTTACAAATTTTATAATCTAGGAAACAATGTTTAGTAACACAAAACATACAAACAAACATTCACTCCAACATGAAACAGACACAAACATTGCCATCAGAATTTGGAGTCAGTCAAAATTTCCTCACAGTCAAACATTTTCAGTCATCATTTTCTGTATATTTTCTTAAACTGAAATACCAAAATATTATAAACACTGCAGTAGCAAGGTCTTTAATTCTTAACACTAAAAAGTATTTAAAAGGAAAGGAAGGAAAGAAAAAATATATATTTAAAAACGTTTAGAGTCAAGGGACACTGGTATTTTATATTGGACCACTTTGTAATTCCCATTCATAACATTGTATTACTGTCTGTGTCTACAACGGTTCAGCTTTTTAATATTGGACCTTTGTTTTTTACGTGTAAAAAACAAAGGGTGTTCCCAAAAAAAAAAACTACAGTGATTTATTTTAAGCTTAGCCAATTAAACTTAGTTCGATCTCCTTGATTCGACCAAATCAAACAATAAATGCTGTTTGTGGTGCTGATGTTCTTAGCAGGAAGAGGGGCCCCTAAATCAAATAATCTTCAAAGCCCTATGCAACCTTGGGGTGAAACCTGATGCACTGCACACCTCTCTGCTGAACCTAAGGGAAAAATGGGGAGATTTAATTAATGTGGCACTTGCAGAAACCAAGCTTTTCTGTTTGATCACTGTTGTGTGATCAAACACAGTGTGGCCCGGGCTTAGGCCAGTCACAATAAAAAATTGTGCTGGGCAATTAATTGTCCCAGAAATAATTTATATAAATTATATTGTAATTTTGAGATCATTGTTAACTGATAGCATAGAAACAACCTAACAATTCAAATACACCCTCTCAAGGTGTATTTGGATTGTTAGGGTAAATAAACAAATTTTGAAACCTTTATTGCTGGAAATGGAAGACCTTTAAATAAAACAACAAAAAATGCATGGGACAGGAATTGGAAGGGGGGTTGGGGCTTGTTAAAACTTAGAGGAATAACTTCACTTGGCTTGATAATTTCCTCTAGTTTGCCGATCCATGACTCCGCATGTGCAGGGGAAATAATAAAGAAACAATCATTCGACATCAGACTTCAGATAAATCTAAAGCTTTTTCCAGAGAATTCAATGCATACAGAATGTTATATCAGCATTACACCCAGATCATCAAGAAGTCCAACACATGACAAAACATAGAATTACCTGCAACGAGTTGAAAAGGAACGACAAAAATGCATTTTTGGGGAATTGCTCACCCGAGCACAAAGCAATTTGATCTTCTGCTGTAAAACAGACCTTTTTGTAAGGATGTGTATTCCCTTAATTTAAATATATGCATTAGAAGGTGTATCCTCCCCCTTGCAGGGCTGTTTAATGTTAATTTTATTACCCTGCTTGAGACCTGCTAAAAAACCTAAAAGCATATATATGGAGAGAACATAGGTCGTTCTCCACTAGAGTCATCTCGTACCAGTCTTCTCCTTTTTACATTCCAGATGAGAATTTATGACCTGGTGGTTTTTCTGTGTCAGTGATTCAACAAGAAACTGATTTCTATTTTAAACAAACTGGCACAAAAATCTAATGCCAAATAATAACTTTGTTTGGATCTAAAAACTGCAGGGTTATCTTCTTTTAGGAAAAACTCTTAGAATACCTGAAATGTTTTGGAAGTAAAATAGTTTCCTAATCCTATTGTATTTCAGTAATATAAAATGCATGCAAATAGTATGGTTAGAGACTAACTAATTCAGAACATGCTGTTAATGCTTAAGGGAACTATCTTAATACACTTCATTATACTTGTAGAAGACTTTTCTTAAGGTTTTAGTGTTTACTGAATTCTTAAACCAACACCAAAGAATTCACTGATTCTGATAAGAGACAGACTTCCTGAGCCTCTCTGAAGACCCTCCTTTGTAATTTATGTGAGTTCAGAGAGTCAACAGTTGTTTTAGTTTGGATCTTTATCTTAGTTTACCTAACTTAGAATCTACTCAAAATGTTCATGCTGCAGCTAATATTTCATATTGACTGTCTCTAAAGTTATGCTAACCAAACTTATATTCTCCACAGGCTGCATTAGGCACTTATCATATTCTGATGCTCCAGTTGATGGCAGAGGGGCCTGGCCTTCACACGATGTTAAGTGGTATAGAAAGTACTGAATTTACTTAAGTAAAAGTAAGAAAGTACTTGCTATTAGACACCCCGGGTGTCACCTGTAGTTCTCGTTCACATGCTGCAGGTCACCACGTCTGTCACTTAATGTTGAAAGACATTGGGTGACAGCTAAAGAAAATAAAGAATGAAGACAGACGCCACTTCTGTCCATGTGCAAGGTGACACGTGTGAACAGTAACTTTTTAAGATAGGTCAGAGTTTCTTTGTGTCTGAGGAACAGCTGTTCTAAATTGTGTGCCAACGTAGATGGATGGAATGTTTCAGTTTAAATTGGTTTTAACGCAAATCTCTAAATATGAAAGTTTTGTATGTTTACCAAATATCAATTATCTTGACAAGCCTACCGCAAAGATTGCAAATATTTAAATCTTTTTTCTCACAATATCTCCGAAACACACTATGTTTATTTTATAAATTTTTTCCTGTCGACACTTCCCTCCACATTACTGCCATAGTGCCAGCGTCCCCAGCTGTGACACACAGAGAGAGTGAATGTTTTGTGTTCTTCCTGACACAACCTCTGACTGTTCACAGGAAGGAACAGGTTTCAAGCAGGGAACCTCTAAAGCCACTGCTTCGCTACTATGATTTATTTTATTGTATTTTCCCTTTTTTACATTTTTCTCTTTACTCTTACATTCAGAACATGGATAAGATGCAGCTCCCATCTGTAACCTTGATTGTTGGCTGTGGAGTATCTTCGCTCACACTGCTGCTTCTCATCATCATCTACGTGTCTGTGTGGAAGTAAGTCAATGCTTGCAAAGAAAAAAAAACACTGCTGTTATTGATGCAAATGTTAATACCAGATCAGGTGAAACATCACGTCACATGCAAATGCTTTTATTTTGTTTTATTAAACTGTTTTTTGAAGCTGCACACTAATATTTTATAATACATAGACAATTATAATATCAAATTTATATCTCTCTAAAAAGAGATTTTATATGAAGGGACTTCCTGGTAAAATAATGGTTAAATAAAACAATGCTTTCACTGACCACATTATCAGAGACACCATTCAGCTTCCTGAATAATTGTCGTGGAAAAAAAAACTATTTCCAAGCACTGTCCAGGTAAAATCGCTCAGTCAGGTTATTTGATCTGTATTTGCGCACAATACAGAGATCATTAAACAATCAGTAATGAAGCCAGTCTGGATGCCAAGTTCACAGAGCTTCCCAAGCTCTGCCAAGCAGAGACAACATGTAAGTTTTTATACAATGATAAGGATTGAAAATCAAGGGGCAAGACTGTCTGGTCCTGACGCCGCTGTGGAAAACAACCTTCCAACCTCGTACATATAACCCAAATAGTTATTTTGGTGAGAGTTCACAAACATTTCATATGACATGACTAGCAGATGTGACCTTATTGTAATTTTTATTATGACAATAATCCTTAAAAATCAAGAAATATCTGATAAACTAGGGAAGCCTCGCTCTGTGGTCAAAGGGTGGTTTCTTTAATAGCAGTGCTGGTGGGGAAAACCAGGGTCAAATTAGCTGCTTGGCTAACAGTTTGCAGTTTGTATTTTTGGCTTGCACGTGCTAGTTTGGAACACCAGCTGTCTCCTCACCTCTGTTCTGGAACAGGCATCAAACTGGAGGACATGGGTTCTGGTGGCACAGCGTCAGTAAATATTCACTTCTCAGCTCTGGATTGAAGCTGAGCATGGCTCTGTGTCTTCTCCCTCAGACAGCCAGACACAATATTTCTTTTGGGGAATGTATAATTCAAAGATTCCTTCTGCAGAATTATGAATAAGCAAGGGTCAAGGCTTGCATGGAATGTCTCCCTGATGTCACCCTTGAGAATGACGGCTGTAGAAAAGACAGAATGGCTTGTTGTCAAAGTGATGTCACATGCATGATGCAAAACTCTTGAAAGTAGGTTGATGGATTGTGGGAGTAGTAGTTCCTATAACAGGGTCCTGCAGTTCAGCCCTTTAATAATGAAAGACCAACAACTTGTATTCATTTCCCAGGTTAATGACGCACTTGAACGCTTGAAGAGATACAATAAGCTGGCAGCTGGAACTCAGTGCACACCATCATCAATCATTAATAGCTTTTAAAGAAACCTTTAAACTGGAGCTGTAGATTTTAGACCTAAATGTTCCTTCTTTTTCTACCTGCAGGTACATTCGATCGGAGCGCTCAGTCATCCTTCTTAACTTCTGCCTCTCCATCATCTCCTCCAATGCCCTTATTCTCATCGGACAGACCCAAACAAGGAACAAGGTTACATCTAATGAGAGGCCATATTATTTGACCCCCACAACTCAGCAGGCATGTTCAGTGTGTTATGTCTCCCTTTCTTGTTCCAGGTTTTATGCACCCTGATTGCAGCATTCCTTCATTTCTTCTTCTTGTCATCATTCTGCTGGGTTCTGACTGAGGCTTGGCAGTCATACATGGCCGTGACCGGTCGACTGAGGAACCGCATCATACGGAAGCGCTTTTTGTGTCTTGGCTGGGGTGGGGATTCCGACTGTTGCCTACTTCTTGTTCTGTTCTTCATGTCTGTTTATCTTCCTCTGAGTGAAGATCCAGTCCTCTGTTTCCTACCAGGTCTCCCAGCGCTTGTTGTTGCCATCTCAGTGGGATTCACCAAGGCAAAAGGATACGGAACACCAAACTAGTAAGCATGTTTTCTTAAGGGTTAATGGTGTGAACTTCCTCTAAACATATATTAATGCTGAGTTATTACACATGAGACAACAGTTATGTTTACAGCATAATTAACCTTTATCCTCTTTTTTTTAATCTATATTTTACTTCCCTCCTTCTTGTCATGCCAACATCCCTTTTATTCCAACCTTCCATATTTCTGCCCCCCTTATCTTTCACCAACCCAAACATCACTTCTTCCAATCACCTGTGTCTATCTACCTCTGTATCTTCTGCTGCTCTCTGGAAGCTGCTGGCTGTCTTTGGAAGGAGGCCTTCTCTATGCATTTGTTGGACCTGCTGCAGCTGTAGTCTTGGTATTTTCTTATCTTTTTATGTGTTTCTTGACTGTCAAAGCTTCTGCATCAAGCAAAGTTCATCACCGCCAATAGTCACTACCATGTAACACGTTATCACTTTGAAAGTGAATGCTGCATTTTGTTTGAATGCAAGTTTTTGCACAAAGTTACCATAGTAAGCTATTGGTCAGAGATTTAGACACAGTCTTTCCTTAAATGCTTCATTAAAATGAAGGACATAAGGACAACAGGTTATATTCCAAGCTTTTATAATGGTCTTGGCCACTAGTTCTCCAGGATATAGATGTCTGGTTGACTAGGCAGCATTGTATTGGCTAAGCACCAGCCATCATTTTATAGGTCGGTCATGATGGTAAATCTTGGCTGAAATTTTTTGACAGACCGTTTTGTCCATACTGACGAGTCTTTCACAACTTTTACTGTGAGAATTCAGAAACATTAAACCTAATTGCTGGTTCAATATTTAATAAAATAATACATTTCTAACATCAGCTCCAGATCACAGAACTATGATGCTGAATAATCTACAAAAAATATTCTTCAGGTTATTGTAAAGAAACATTTGTTTTGTACAACTAAAGTTCAACTGAAAAAGAATGGCAAGGAATTATCAAGTTATAATCAGGTTAGAACTATCCTAAAAAAAAATAAATGTATATTGTGCTTTGCACAGTGTGGTCAAATTGTGAGAGCTACTTAAAGTCTGTACAAGTGACAACGAGTAACCTGGAGCTACAGCCAATATATGTCGAAAACAGACTTGCATTCCTTCAACCATAAATATAAAAGCAGTTGGTTTCAGTTTATTACTCCAGTTGGAAAAGGAAAGCCAGCTAACATTTAAAATGACCAAATGACACAAAGCTTACTGTTCTGCAAAATAAGGTTGGCTTGTTTGAGGTAAAAAATGAATAGATTACAGATCACAGTGACATTTAAAGAGTCTGTAATTCTGAAGTATAAATACAACCCATATTTCAAAAAAAATAATCTTGGTTTTCTTTATACTTCACATTTTTTCTTGTTTTAATATCCTGCATTTCAGTAATTGCTTTCTTTGCTGCTCGTAGGTCCATGTTTCCCATTTTTCTTCCTGTAACCTTTTACTGTTTCATATCATTGTCTTTCTTTACGTCTTCACTCTTCCTTTCTGTTTATCTATCCTTTTAATTTCAGTATTTTCTAGTGCAGAGGTCGGCAACCCAACATGTTGAAAGAGCCATATTGGACCCAAAAAACGAAAAACAAATCTGTTTGGAGCCGCAAAAAAGTAAAAGCCGTATATAAGGCTTTTATATAAGGCAAAACGGGCTCTAGGTGATTATATTAGCGTATTATCAAAATGACTAAGTGTATACATAATTAGTATTCATGATTAAATGTTTATTTTCCCTGCAGTGCGTCCTGGAGGGAATGACGCATCACGTGACTCTTCTGTTGTACGATGGTGCTTTATATTAACCTTCTGTTACAATATGAATGCATTTACAAAATTAAAGAAACGCAATAAAGAAATCAAATTTTTGATATCATTTTTATTATGAAGAGCGACAGGGAAAGTGTCTTTTTTTTCCCTTTTTGGAACATGGAAAATCTGCCCCTGACATGCAGTTTGCATAACGACGATCGCTCTTTGTAAATAATCACCGTTAAGTGTGTGATCAAAAAAACAACAAACAGAGTGTAATAAAACGGCAGCTCTTTGAAAACGTAAAGTATATAAAATTAAGAGTTTAAGTTCAATTTCTGTGCAAATGCCAAGCAAGTCAGTGCAACATTAACACAAAGCAGCCATGAGCAACCCGACCTGAGCAACGACACAAAACAATATCGCTAAGTGTCATTCTAAATGTATACTGATGAAAATTACTGTATCGCTTATTTATGTATGTTTTCAGTTTTTTATTTTTGTCCAAAAAATTTGTAGTTTCGGCTTTCATTGAGGTGCGCTCCGGAAAGTACAGTACTCTTTTAGTTATTTGACAACTTGTCGCTGCAGAGCGAACATTCAGGCAATTCTTCCACACTGGCAACGAATGCAGATGATTCGGCCCAAGAATTGTAGAATTGAATGTTTCTTCTACACATTTTTATAGCATTGGAAAACGTTAAGAATGATTGTGTCGTGTTTGTCCTCCTACAGAAACCATAATAAAACAAAAAATATATTTCCCAGCCCCATGTTTTCCCATTTTCAAACATTTTTGATGAAGCTCCAAAGAGCCACTAGGGCGGTGCTAAAGAGCCGCATGCGGCTCCGGAGCCGCAGGTTGCCGACCCCTGTTCTAGTGCCAATATTTAGTGTTTGCACTAAATGCATGTATGCATATGCATGGCAAACTTGTTTGTTCCTGGTAAAATCTGGATACATGTCTGATTAAGAAAAAAATCTAAACATCTCAACCTTAAAAGATTTACCATTTGGTTTAATGATGGTTAATTTGCATATGTTCCTAACCAACATGAATTAGATTTCTGTTGTTTTGCAAGTATTTGCATCCTTGTATAAAATTTGCAAATGCTGGGATCATGTGAAGTGTAAATAGATTAATGAAAATCTTCTATTCTGAAACTTGCTAAGGTTTTGTTCTTAATCCTCAACTGGAAGGTATTAAAGTGGAGAGCTTTATAATATCACCATAGGTCCAGCATAATAACTTAGTAAAGCACTGTTTAATGTTGCATCCCATCTGTTCCAAAAGTTGGAACTCAGATTTAACGTCGTAGACAACTTAACAGTGTTATACTTCCCTGCTGTAAAACATTTTAGGGGAAATGTGCTCAGTGACCAGGCTAACTATTCTTAGTAATTGAATAGTTTAAAAATTTTCCATCAACTACATATTTTATAAATGATATGATTTCATTTCCAAATGGAATAAACAGTCAACAAAAATCTATAGAATGTTCCTGAAGTAAAAAACCTCAGAGGATATAGAGAGAAACCTGTCATAATCAATTCCTTACTGATACTACACCTGAACATCAAAGCAGCAAGACAGTATGATACTTTGTGTCATTTGACAGTTATAAATCCAAAGCAGACAAAAATTAATTGTGAGGTTCCACAATGATCCATTCTCTGGGGACTTTTATATAACACCTTTATGATATGTCCTACCTTGGAACATAGAGTACTGTTATCTCAACTATTAAGTGCAAGGTGACAATACTCAACTTTATATCTCTGTGTGTCCACAGACACTGTAGTGTGTGCCTGTAATATGTGTGACTGTATTGTTTAAAATGTCCTTCAGCTTAATGAAGAAAGAACATAAGTGATTGTTTGTTCTCAAAACTGCTAGGCTTAAGTTTATCCCTCAGGTAGACTCAGTGATATGGAATCCCCCTAGGGTCATGGGATTTTTTTTTCTTTTTCTTTACCTGAGAAGATTCTGCTCCTGATTCTTTAGCTGAAATTTGTTTCTGAGCTGCTTTTCCAGTACGAATCATGAAGAGCCTCAGCTCTGCAGACACCTGCTAACTCAGAGTTCCCATAGACACTACAAACCACGTCAGACAGCATGCAGCTCTGGAACTGGGTGTGTCAAAACCGATTCCTCTTTTAGATCGGACCAGAAACTTTGTTCAATCCAGCTTTTGATCAAAGAATCTGACTAATGAACTGTTTGCCTGATCCCTGAAGAGAGATTGAAAAAAAGAGAATGAAGATTAGATTTGGAGTTCAATTTCAGTTCTAAATTATTCTGGAACATTTTTATAATCTATTTTATTTTTTAAAAAATTGTGTTAATTTAGATAAGCACTTTGGGTTCCTTTGTACTTGAATGGCCCTTTATGAATAAAGCTGTTAATTTACATGAACAGCTGCCATGTAAAGAATGTTCTCCAGAGGAACAGGGTGGCGTTGGCAGTTGAGTGGAGTGAAGGTCACCAGACACGTAAGTTGCCTCGTTAGACACATTAGAACACATCAGCAGCAAATACTGGAGCTGTTCCTCTTTGTATGGCCTGGATTGGGATGCCTATCAAGACAAATGATTTATTTTGACAAATTAATTTTTGTTGCTACTTTTCTGTCCATTGTTTTTTTCTTTTTTTTTTTTTTTTTTTTTTGTTGCTTAACGTTATGAGGTTATCGTGTTCCAGGTTTATTCCTAACTTGCACATTTACATATTTAAATAATTATTTCATAATTGTTGTGATAGTAAAGACTAAGCCAAAATTAAACCCAACTTCCAGTGTTTTAAGGTCTTATACAAGGCCATTTTTAGTAATATAATATTGAAATTAGTTTTTAACACTTTCTAGCTGAGGATGCTTCTACTACTGTTGTAAAAACATAAATATTACATTTTTCAATTAATCAAAGTTGTTAGTAGTATGTGGAGCACTTATAGATTTTTCATTAGTCTTCCAATATTCTTACATTTTTTGTGTTTCTATTTATAGTTCCTATCCTATAATGCAGTGTATGTGTCTGGTGACCGTTGATTTGATTTTGATTTGATAATTTATTTCAGACAGACATTTCACCAGCAAAAACAAAACATAATAATAAAGACTTCCAGGTTTCTAAGTGTAAATGCAATACCTTACTCTCAAATGTACATACTTAAATACATGTAAATACACAACCTCTTTGGTGACCGTTAATCTGAAAAGGAGTATGATGATGGTTAACTTATATAATCATACCCCTTCTCCATTAATTAATCCATAGCATAAATAATATTCCTGTTTCCAGTAATCTTTCAAAAAACAAAACAAAAAAACAATAATGACAAATCTGAAATAATATTTGCTGAACCAGATGCAAGTGTTACATATACCCATATATATACATACGCATCTACCTGCATATATGCATAATGATATATACCTATTTACACACCCACATATATTTACACTCACATACAACATCCTTCACTCACTGTTGTGAAGGTTAGTCCAGTTGCAGCCCTTCCAGGTCTTATAATGCCACCATCTATGTGTCCTGGAGTCTGTTCTTAATTGTGACCATTGTCCTGCATTTTACCAAATTCCACCTTAATAAGACCAACCTTCTAAATAATTTATGTGGCTCTGTCCTGCTTTAGTCATTGAGGGTGTGTCAGATGTTTTATGATGAAGGGACATAATTAAAAAATAAAAAAATAAAGGTCAAGTCATTGTATAAAATATATATATATATATATATATATAATATATATATATATATATATATATATATATATATATATATATATATATATATATATAAGTATATATATATACTTATTAATATATATTAATTACTGCTGTGAATGCAAGTGTCCATGGAAAATGGTTAATAAGGATGTTTTCAAACATCAATATTAGCTCGACAAGAAAAACTCCTCTTCTCACAGTTGCTTTTTCACCGAGAAAAGGGTCGGCCTCAGCTTAGCCAGCAACATTCTGTTGTGGTAAACTGACATATTAACGGTCCTCTAAACTCTCAAAACCAGACATCTATAAACATAATAGTTTTAGTTCTCTGTTCAGTTCTTGGCCTGTCCTTTCTACGAGGGGCAGTTAGTTTTTAACCTGTCTGACTGTTACTCTGCAGTCATACTGAAAGCCTGGCTCACTCTATTGTCTGATTATGTGTAGAAATGTTTGTATACATGAAATAGGAAATGGAATTCATTTAATCAGCCATGCACCATTACTCCCAGCACCTTTGATTTCACTCATATTTTATGTATATTTCTGTTTGCTGCTCATCCTTCCTGTTCTGAATGAATTTTATTTAATCTTTAAAATATGTTTATGATTTCATCATTTTTTGCTTCATTAATGCCTGTGACTCAAATTTAATAAGATGTGTTTCAGTTTTTAGATTTCAGAGCCAACAGTGAGCTTACCTAGAGTCTGTTCTGTGAGCCATTATGCATGCTGGACATCGTAGACACCACCACCATCATCATCCTCACTACAGTGGTGCTGCATGTTCTGAAGCAATGAAAGTGCCTTTTTTCTGCTTTAACTCTGTGCCTCTTGTCTTTGGCAGGTTAACATGGTTATTGGGATTCTCGTTTTTAACAAACTGGTCTCCAAAGATGGCATTACTGATATGAAACTAAAGGAGAGGGCGGGGTATGCCTTAAATCACACATTCATTTTACACAGTGACCTATAACCAGGCTGTCTACTTATGGAGGGGATAGTGGCTGTTATCAGCTTCAGCTCTGAAATAATGGTCAACTCAAATAGCTAAATCTGACACTGGAATCCTCTGAGTGAACTAGACCAAAAAAAGAAATGACTGTATAAGACTGTCTGGTTATTGGTCCTGCACAAACTGAGCAAACTGATGACTTATCTCATTGCTTTATTTTGTGTTTCTGAAGTTTTGCATTCTGTTCCAGCTGCTCTCTGTTTGTAGGTGTTGCTCTTGATGTAAAAGCTCTGTAAATCTATCCTCTTTTTAATCCTACTTCTTTTTTTTCTTTTCAGTAAAGGGAATCAGGGTGTAAAAACAAATTATGTGTTGGGTTTAACGTTCTTATCTCAATCTTCTATTGCGTTTCTGAAAACGGTTTAGTTGCATTTATACATCTCAGTAAATAGCTCAGTGCTACAGTACCTAGTGAGAGACTATGATTTAGCTGTACTGTTGCTGACCAGGGGTGAAGCTTTTTCATCTGAAAGAGACCTTATGTTTCTCTTAATTCTGCATGATATATGTTTATTCTACACATATGAAACAAGTTGGTTCCATATGATCCACATCAAATGTGATGTACAACTTCCTCTCCATACAATGAAGCTTGGATGAAAAACATTTTAAATCCCCAATATGTAACTTTTATTATTTTTTTAATGTTTATTTTATTTTATTTTTCTTACATATTTGTTAAAACTGTCACCATGTCGTAACAGTAAAATTTGAGACAGTCTGTGGAAAAAAAACAAGTTCTTCTGCCTGTGGCTCTATTGCCATCTGCAGAAATGCACTGCTCCATGACTGAATGATCCATCAGAGTCAGGAGGAGGGACATTCCACTGTCAATCATCCTCAGGTTTGATTGACATTGAGAGGTACGCACATCTCAATGTGTTAATGTGTTAATGGTGGAACACCAACTTCTCATTAAAGGAAACCTATTTATTCGCCTTTATGGATAACCATGCTAACTGGCTTGAACCTACATGTCATGCTAGCTGTGGGGAACAAGGTGTAGCCTGGGAGATATCGAGGGGGAGGCTGTTAGCAGCACATACAATAGGGCAGTGTTTCCCTGACCCTGGTCCTCAAGACACACTGCCCTGCAGTTCAGCAAACACCTGTCAATTGAAATCACCTGGACTGAAGCAAAGAAACACCTAAAACAAGCAGGGCAGTGTGCCTAGAGGACCAGGGTTGGGAAACACCACACTATTGTTATTGACTAAGATCCTCCTCTTGGCTCTGATTGGTTGTTTCTAACCATGTTACAAGCCAGACTGCAGGAAGTAGAGCTAAGCCAATGGTATTTTTTTTCTCTTTCTTTTCTGTCCCAAAGCAGTAATAGTCAATAGCCAAAGTATAATATTGTATAATATAATAGAACTCATCAATCTCAGACTTATTTAACCCTAAAGATAAGAAACTTTTTAATACGTATCTTTACTGTTCTTTATTGGATCTTACAGATCACCTTTACTCTCCTCATTTGGTTTGTCAATGCCAGCTTAATTTTTGAAAGCTTACATGTGCAGGATATCTCTGGAATTATGTTATAAACAGCCAGTGGCAGCTCAATGCGCAACATGTCTTTGCAGGAGTGTGATAGAAATGTTTTGTCAAAGAGGTTTTTGATTCAAGTAAAGCTTCTCATTATTAAATGAGATTATGTCAGCAACTGATGGAAGCTAACATCCCTACTATCCTCTAGGCTCATTGAGATTTCAGTTTACTTCCACCACGTACTTAACTTGAAGGTCACAAATGATCTAATCGACAAGCTGGATTTGTCCATTTTTTTGTGGATTTTGGTTGCTAATGACCCAGCTGTCTTTATAAGAATGTACCAGTGATGGATCCAGAAGAAAATACTGATATGGAATCTCAGCTGGAGACTTTTTGAGTGGAATTTCCATGTAGATGCAAGAGTTCTCTCTGGGGACTCCGGCTTCCTCCCAGGATCCTAAAACATGCATGTTTGGCCAATTGACCTCTGATTTTCCCTTTATGTGGATGTGGGCATGCATGGCCTGTTGTGGGTATTTATGTTTAGTTTGGGTGTGGAGGGTGATACCATTCTCTCGTCGATGACAAGTCCCACCATCCACCTTTAAAGATTAGTGGGGTTTGAAAGTGAGGACAGGTGTTTGATTTGTTTGGCAAACCACTAAATTTAGTGTTCTAAATTGGATCAAGTCATAGCTGAACAATTTGCCATGCCATCATATTTGAGAACACTCAGGAAAAAGGTGGTCAGTTTGATAAGAAAAGTGCTGGCAATAAAGCAGACCTTTTTTTCTTGTGTTCTCAAATATGATGGCATGGCAAATTGTTCAGCTATGACTTGATCCAATTTTGAATACTAAATTTAGTGGTTTGCCAAACACATGAAACACCTGTCCACACTTTAAACCCCAGTAATCTTTAAAGATGGATGGTGGAATTTGTCAAAACACTTCTACGCTACAACTTTCGTCCACTGGCTGAAACCACAAATATGCACACATTCATTGGTGTCTCATTATGTGCCTTAGTTCCTATGTGCCTTAGCTCTACTTAGTGCCCAGGTTCTAAATTCTCCCTCCATCCAAATTGCTTGAGTTTGGGTGGAGGTATGCTTCATGCCGACATAAGCAAGTGAAAGCAGTGCTATTGGTTGTTATGGAAACATTCTCTGCACATTATAAGATATATTTTGTTCATATTGCACATGAAATTAAGCTCCAAATGACATTGGACCTTTGGTTGAATTTGTAGGCTACCTTAATGAAATTTGTGAGTTATTAATTAGCACTCTAACTCACCCTGATCCCCTTTACTCTTCCAGCTGTTTTCCATCTCCATGAGCATTTTTGGTACATATGATTGTTTTTATTTGTTTCTCTCTCTCTCTCTGAAAAGTATTTGCTTTCTCCGATGATCTCTCTGTTCACTGTATTCGTTCTGCTGTCTGAATTGTCATGTTTGAGTTTGCACAGAATCCCCTCTCTCTCACTCAGGGCTCTCCAATCAGGAACACATCTGTCTCAGAAGCCCCCTCTCATCTCATCAGTGATTGGGTAAAAATATCTGCCCATCCAACTTTCCTCTCTAAGGCTACCAGCCCTGCCAATTACCAAACAAATTGATTCCTCTAGCAAGCATCAATGATTGGCTCACTATTATTTCCTGCCTATACACCCCACTATTTCGCTGGTCTTGCAGTTTTCCGGCCTTCTGCTAGCTGGCAAGAACCTAACACTGTTTATGCCTTAATGACGTCTCTAGTGCTTTTAGAGAAATGCTAACTTTTTCCTATCAATAACTCACAGCAGAAGGGCAGTACAATTAATATTTTCTTCTCTATAAAACTTTGGTTCAGAATGGTTGTTGTGAATGAAATATTTTATGTGGTATCTGATGGTCTTATTTGATATATTGTAAATAAGAATGCCTCAGATATAAATCTGTTACTGTTTTTCTGGTCTGCATAGTTTTATGATATATTGATTATTCACTTCATAGTTCTCCTTCGGTTGTCTTCTTTAAAACAAGAAGATTGTCACTTATGTTTAAATAGGTGTACTATAGTTTGGATTTTATACATGCCACCCAATGAATTCATTTCTTAAAAAAAAATATTCAAGTACTAATTTGCCACATTGTGGCTAATTTCATAGCTTTTAGATGATCACCCACGCTTGCGAAGTAAAATGTAATCTGAAGTATTACTTAAAAGTGTTTAAGTAATACTTAAACACTTTAAGTATTACTTAAAGTATACTTAAAGTAATACTTTAAGTAGCATTTTTAGCATTTTATACTGCTAATCCAACTGGCTTGTTGGATTAGCAGTATAAAATGAAATCTAAATAAATCACACAGTACTTTAAGACTTTATTCATAAGACCAACCAACTCTTACACAGTCATTCAGAAGAGCTATAATGTGTCTGAATGTCTGAGTTCATGCTTGAAAATTGTTCTATTTGTCCAAAATATTTGGAGATTTTCTAAATAAGTTCTCGAAAGGATACTTTTTCCATCCAGTCATGTGAACATGAAGCCAAAATTATAGACATCATGTTTTTTTAACTTTCACTACTAGAAGACTCTTTCTTTCTGGCAAAAATCTCAGACAACCAATAATTCAGAAAAATGGTTTATAGTGCACCTGTTACATTTCTTGATGCCCAGACTGCAGTGAGACTGGCTTTTTTACTTTTTGGTCAGAATGTTCCCAAAGTGAAAGGCTAAGTGCCCCATTAATTGATGAGTGGAGGTAGCTCCCCAAAACCTTCAATGCATCACTATTTCAGATATACTCACAGCATGAGGACATAGTTTTACCTCAGACATACCGCTTTGTCACCAAGGATATGTCCTTTTCTATGAAGCCAGTCAAAAACAAAAGAGAGCAGAGTTGTACTTCCAGGTTAACATACAGTATGATTACTTGCAGCTATGAAATAGCCATCCTGTTATCCAAGGGCTAAACATTGGCAGAAAAACAGTGGTAAGTGGCTAGCTGTGCCCAGCTAATACTCTGCTGATCAGCCTTAGTCTCCTGGAATACTGTGTGATTCATTTGGTCAGGTGGGTGCTTGTTCATCAGCTGTCTTTAGACTGTTAATCCTTGTAGAAAACCATCTGTTATCTTCCTCAAGTTGTCCATCAATATTTTATCAATAAAAAATTGAATGAAAAATGAACATACATTTCCCAACCCAAAAGTGATCCAAGTTTGCATCACTGTTTTCAGAAGTTTTGCTTCATAGTATATATTGAAAGTATTCATATGTAGTGAAAATTATACCTTCATGATATATCTGATGAGATCAGATGTCTATTGAGAGATCCACTTATGTATATAATTATAATGACCATACTGATCATATTTGAGGATCACATTTCCAAGTTTAAACTGTTGTTTACTGTATAGTGTTAAACAC